TTTAATATTGGGGATATTATTGATTTCGTCGTAATAATATATAATAAAGTACTGTGTCAGTGGCAGCGTCATTCTAGAGTGATTGTATAGCATGTACCCAGGTATTTACATGGTAATTCAAAGAATACCTTGGTAACCATAGTACCAGGGCAGGATTTAGGGGGGCGGGGGCCCCTGGGCTTGAGGTTATGTTTGGGCCCTTTTCCTACACTCCAAATGCCCTCAAATAGAACATCATTATGCAGTAACACAGAATACACAAACATATGCTTTGAGGTTCATAAATAGTAAAATGAATATGCAACATGTCTAGGCTATAGTCAAAGTTTAAATGTAATATTAAATATTCATTATAATGTAATAAACAGGATGTGTTCTCTCAGTTGAGAGATGAAAACCCTGAAATAACTTTGAGCAAAAAAAAAAAAAAGCCAAAGATGTTGGCTTATTAGTATTATAAAAGTTATTGTCATATCTATGTCCTCTTATGTCAGGTTCTTATTTAATCAATAAATTCAATCGAATAAAAAAAACATGCTGGCTATTAACAATCAAATGAAATCACTATCATCAAAATTCATAGATGGATTATGCATAAATGTTAAGTTTAAATATAACATTTTAATGTAGAAATATTAAATGATTGCAAAAATGAAATAAGCTACTTTTTAAAATATGAAACTACAACCGTCAGCAGGTGGCAGCAAGTGACTGTCTTAATGAGTGAGTTGAATCAACCGATTCGTTTAAAAAGCTGATTCATTTAACTTTGCAAACGACTGTACTTGAAGCCTGATTGAATCATTTGCTGGTCCGTGTAACGCTGAGAAACAAAACACTGTTGTTCAGAGACGCAGCGGTTCTGCTGTTTGTTCTATTTTCTTTCTGACGGAGCAAAACAGAATTTTGTGTCTGAAAGTTACTCTGTAAGTTGTTGTTTATTGTACATTAGCGATCGTGCAGATATTTGAGAAAAAAACAGGACTCTTGTTTGTGTGATAGGCTAAGTCCTATATCATAGGCATAGCTATGTTATAAAAACAGAAACTTATTAAATTGCTATTTTTTATTTAAAATCATTTTGATTACATTTCTTCCTCACTAGGCCTATGTGTAATGGCAGTAAGACGAGAGAGAGCGCTCAAAACTCATCAGATGATCGCATAATTTAGTGGAACATTAATATAGTAATATAGAATCATCCTCTGTAAAGATATGAGGTGTGAACATTTAAGAATTGATCATTATCTTTCTAAATGTGCGCTCTTTTGGGGCTCAAGGCTTAATGGAGCTGTTTAAAGTAGCCATGTGATAACAAACCAAACGGTGCAGACGCGATTCAATACGTGTGTCCTTCTTCTATGTGAAATAATCATAAATACCAGCTTATGCTGTTTGATTGTGGCCTCGAAGGTCGTTGTTGTAAGCTGTAGCCCCGGCTGGCCTGTTTAGATCTTGCGTGCACAGTGGAAATGCGGCTAATAATTTCTGAATACTGACTGGCATATAACAAACAAATCAAACAAACGTAAACGGGCAAAGGCGGGGCCCATGGGCTACAGCTCACTCAAGCCCAATGGTGAAAGTGAAAAAAAAGTGACGTGACGTGGCCAAGTATGGTGACCCATACTGCTGCGGCGCCCGGGGAGCAGTTGGGGGTTCGGTGCCTTGCTCAAGGGCACCTCAGTCGTGGTATTGAAGCTGGGAGAGAGCGCTGTACACTCCCCCCACCTACAATCCCTGCCGGTACGAGACTCGAACCCGCAACCTTTGGGTTACGAGTCCGACTCTCTAACTATTAGGCCACGACTTCCGTAAGTCCGGCCATGCATAGAACCATGCAGTATATGTCATGCCATTACCCTAGTAACAATAGTTAACACTATTGTAATCACTGTTACTCAAAAATATAATAAAATTAAAAGAAAATCACTTATTAATTTGTTATGGTTTTGATTTTATTAAAAATAATGGTTGTATTTTGTTTTATAGTTTTTAACCAGGGAGCCGGGGCCACTAGAGGGCCTCAGCAAACTTCCAAGAGGGCCTCTTGAGACAAAATAAGCTTTAAAATAAGATAAAAAAAATAAAAGTATGATTTCTCAGAGTGGAAAAGTCATGTAATTTAATAAATTTTAATAAAAAATCTTACAATTAATTGGCAATTTTTTTTATCATGAATATACATTACATATTGTTCTGCTAGCTATATATTGGTTTAAAAATAGTGGGATCCCTGAAGAACATTTTGCATTTAAAACTTTATTTAATTATTTTAATTTTAATTATTGTTAGGTACTTGTTGTAATCTATGATGAAACAAAACATAGTCATTACAGCAGATTTACCAAAGGAAACCAGTCAGCCTTGGAGTCAAAAAGATGTTACCATGGTAAATTTTGTAATGGTAGTGGGTTATTTTAGAGTTGATGTCACCTTTATGAACCTGTTAACACTCATGTCTTCACAGTGGAGAATGAGCTGACAGGACACACTAATCTCATCACACACTACAACCTGGAGCACGCTTATAACAAGTTCTGCGGAAAGAAGGTGAAGGAGAAACTCAGCAACTTCCTTCCAGAGCTTCCTGGTGTGTATGCATACTTTTACCTTTCACTGACGATTTTACAGTAGTTCTAGAACCTTAAAGGGATAGTTCACCTAAAAATGAAAATTCTGTCATCATTTACTCACCCTCCATTTGTTTCTTTGCTCTGTTGAACACAAAAGAAGATATTCTGAGGAATGTTGGTAACCAAACAGTTCACAGCAGCCATTGACTTCCATAGTATGAAAAAAAAGTCTATGGAAGTCTATGGCTAGTCTATCAGCTGTTTGGTTAGCAACATTCTTTTTATTATTTTGGGGTGAACTATCCCTTTAACTATCCGCCACTGCCTGTATTGAAACTACACACCTGTATTCCAGGTATGATCGACAGCCCAGGCATTCAGGACAACAGCTCTCTGCGATCTGTCATTGAGAAGCCGCCAGTGTGCAACAACTCGTTCAGTCCTCTCACTGGGGCTATGCTCACCGGCTTCAGGCTACACACTGGCCCTGTAAGTGTGTGTGTGTGTGTGTGTTTGTGAGAGAGGCTAAAGAAGGATCCCCTTTGCATTTAGGGAGGCAAGTGTAACTGATGCTGCCTCTACTTTGACTGTACTCGGAGGTTTGTCGATGTCATTCTTAGACAGCGTTGGTAGCGAATGGTTATGTGGGTCAGACGTTTGTTGTTGTTTTGCAAGCAAGATTTATTGACTCTCTCTGTCCTGACAAAGTTACCAGAGCAGTACAGACTGATGCACATTCAACCACCGAAGAAGAAGAACAAACACAAGCATAAACATCATCGGCCTCAGGATCCCTTACCGCCAGGTGACGGTCAAACACAAACACACAAAGAAACGAACGTTTGCTTTCTTAAATCTTGACTGTCAAACTCACGTCTTTACCACAGAAACTCCGTCAGATTCAGACCATAAGAAGAAGAAGAAAAAGAAGGACGATGACCCGGACAGAAAGAAAAAGAAGAAAGATAAGAAGAAGAAAAAGGTTAATTGGAGTTATTATGGTCTTCATATGACAGTACAGATTACAATTGGCCTTAATTTATAAGAAATCTTCTACACTACTGTTCAAAAACTTTGGGCTCAGTAAGATTTTTTAAATGTTTTAAAGTCTCTTATGCTCATTTATTTGATCAAAAATACAGTAAAACAGTAATGTTGTGAAATATTATTACAATGTGAAGTACATATTTGAATATATTTTAAAATGTAATATATTCCTGTGATGGCAAAGTTGAATGTTCAGCATCACTACTTCAGTGTCACATGATCCTTTCTGAAATCATTCTAATATACTGATTTGCTGCTCAAGAAACATTTCTTATTATTGTCAATGTTGAAAACAGCAGTGCTGCTTAATATTTTTATGGAAACCATTATTCTCTGATTAATAGGAAGTTCAAAAGTACTGCATTTATCAAAAATGATCAAAAATATTTTGTAAAATTACAAATGTCTTTACTGTCACTTTTGATACATTTAATGCATCCTTGGTACAAGAAAGTATTGATTTCATACCGTAAAGCTTCTAACAGTAGAGTATGTTTTTGATTTGTTCATACATTAATACAATATTAATTCAATTGTGATAAATAGTACACCTGATATCTCTGATAAATACAATATTGTTATTTCTCCATGTTCAGAATCGCCACAGCCCTGATCACCCAGGCATGACTGGAGCTCAGCCCAGCAGCAGCAGTCTGAGATAAAAACTGCCTCAATGGCAGAAAAACAAGAGGAACGAGATGAAGAGAAGCACAAGCTGGACAATTGGGCCTTTTCTGGGACGTCACAGATTTAATGTTACAGTGACTCAGATATGTGTGTGTATATAGTGTGAGAGTATATCATTATGTAATGTACCAGAACACCTGGTAACCATCGCATCTGTTATATTTGTAAGTGTCTTAGTGCCTCTGTGTCTATTTATGAGCACGATGAATAATTTTTCATTCAACTTTTTTAAAACCTTTTTTTACAAATAAAACAATCAGCTGAGAAATGGGCTGATTTGTGAAAAAATATTTGAAATTTTTTTTCTTTCAGGCATATTTACAGTCGTGAGCACAGTACAAGCACCATTATGTTGAACAATCATTAGAATCACTGAAACCGATAACATGATTACAGTTCTGTAACATACAGAATAGCACTTTTGAAACAAAGAATATAGTGCAAAACTGGCCTCTGCAATAAAATGAATCATCTGTATTTGTCATATAAAGCTGCATTTCCATCAGGTTTGTGAGAGAGGGATGGCAAAAAAATAAAAAAAAATCTATGTCAAGGTAAAGTGAGCATTACATGAAGCCCTGCCTCATTTACCTGAGTCTTGAAGGAGGATGAGGTTCACCTGTTAGAAAAACATTACATTCTCTACATTCCGTAAATGGCGAGCATTATTTAAACATTTTTTGACTACGCATACTAGTGAATCTGAATGTCTGTGTCCTGCACATTCATAATGAAGATCATAACATGATAGAATACAAGTTCACAGTCATTTTGTGAGCTACTCTCCTGAAAACTCCAGCATAGACTTTCAAGGAGGCTTTTTGATCGAGACATAGAGACTGAAGGTCAAGTTTCCCTTTTATAGTATCTCAGCAAGTTAGATCAAGTTTTGATTAAAGATTATGAACACAAAATGTCTTTGGTATAAAATGCACTGATTGTGCACAATAACACTGATTTTCTTAAAGTAAATGGAGCAAATTTTGATTCATACTCACAAAAGTTTTGAGGCAGGAGGATTGATATGCAATATCAATTGATCATATTTAACGCCTCCTGGTTCTTCTACCATTTTAATGGACATCTCAAAGTGTCAATGCAATAATAATAATTGGAAAAAACGGCAAACTATATATTGTAGGTCATGGCATAATGTTTTTCTGATCGATATTAAAAGCCTTGAAAATACATCCTGCCCAGTCACACAGTCAAAGCCTTGACTGATGCTTTGTTTTTAACACTGTTTTATATTTGTCAAGACTCAACAACAGTGACTGAACATGAAGTCCGATAATTCAGTTTCTGAAGTGCCATGATATAATAACTCATAAATCAGGTGTATAATTCACATACACCTCAATCCTAAATGTTTTCCACCTCAGACGTTCCCGTTCGTTTGATATTTTGCTGAATCATTTGTTTGGTTGAGGCTGTTGCTCTCCTGCGCTGACTGGCTCATTGACAGACTATGAAGCGCTGCCTTCTCCTTTATAATTTGTCTCTGGTAGTAGAAGAGGTATCCCGGCAGCAGGAATCCAACCAATGAGAACACAAGCAGGCCCAAGTTGATCTGTTGATTCAAAAATTGTTATGTTTGGTACTTTGTCCAAAATCTTGATTCTGTTGACCTGCACTACACTACAATACAAATACACATTTGCTTTGCACATGAATGGTGTATTATACTCAACAATGTGTTTGTCTCACCCAATAAGGATCACCCTTCAATGGTCCCAGCATCCACATGAACAGTGGTTGTTGGAGGAGGGCAAACACAGCACTGATCATGGATTGCAAGCCCGTCAGAGTGCCAAAGTGATTGGTTGGGTAGCTAAATATGCAAATAAACACTTTGAGGATAACATAAACAGCAAATATTACACATATGCAACTTACGGAGCCATTTTTAACAGTTATTTGGGATTCAAATCAGAGTATTATCATTAACTAAAACTAAAACCCATACAAAAAAAACATTTTCATAAGATAAACATTAACTGAAAACTAAAATATAAAAAACCTTCAACTTATTTTAATTCACCTAGATGCCAAGGCAACATTTATCATTTTTGTTTAAAGTACTAGAATAACAGAAACTAAATTAACTAAAACTTACTAAAAACTATGAAGACAAAAAAGTAATAAAAATGGCAAACACACAACAACATTTCAAAAACTTTAAATTTAAAATAAAAACATAAAAAGTCTAATTCATTATATGTGACCCTGGACCACAAAACCAGTCATAAGGGTCAATTTTTCGAAACGGAGATTTATACATCATCTGAAAGCTGAATAAAGCTTTCCATTGATGTATGGTTTGATAGGATAGGACAATATTTGGCCGAGATACAACTATTTGAAAATCTGGAATCTGAGGGTGCAAAAAAATCTAAATATTGAGAAAATCACCTTTAAAGTTGTCCAAATGAAGTCCTTAGCAATGCATATTACTAATCAAAAATTAAGTTATAATACATTTACAGTAGGAAATTTACAAAATATCTTCATGGAACATGATCTTTACTTAATATCCTAATGATTTTTGGCATAAAAGAAAAATCTATAATTTTCCCATACAATGTATTTTTGGCTATTGCTACAAATATACCTGTGCTACTTAAGACTGGTTTTGTGGTCCAGGGTCACATATTAACAAAAACTATAATAGTATGCCAGTGATTCTAAAATAACACTAATTCAAATGATTCATTTTCACTTTTAGGCTAGAATTATTAAGCTGATCTTCAGTCGAGCATGTGTTTGTGTGCTGTGTAATTTTATCCTTAAGCAGCACATAAAATCATGTGGATTTTGATAAGTGAAACTCACACAGCAGCGTAGAGCCCACCACAGCAGGAGTGAATAAAACCTCGAACTGCAGTGTGAAGAACAAATGACACCACCTGATCAGAAAGGCGAAAAAGAAAAATACATATAATAATTAATGGTCATCAACATTTTCATGTTTTGCAGCATAAACACAGCAAGGTCAAAAGTTTTTAAAAAGTTTTTTAAAATTAATTTTATTTAAATTAATTTTATTTATATGATTATATACTAATATTATGTATAAGTGCAAAATTATATATAAAAATTTAATTACATTAAAATGATATATGGTGCAAAATTATATAGGCTTTTATATGATTGCAAAGTTATATACACTCTAAAAAATGCTGGGTTGTTTCAACCCAATTTTGGGTCAAATATGGACTAACCCAACTGTTGGGTTAAAAAGTTAATTTAAAAATGTAACCAAAATTTAACCCAACAGTTGGGTTAGTCCATATTTGACCCAACATTGGGTTGAAACAACCCAGCATTTTTTAGAGTGTATGAATATGTAAATTAAATTAAAATTATGTTAGTGCAAAGTTATATATGAATATAAAAATGCTAATTTATATATGAAAAATTAACTAATAAAATTGTAATTAAATATCATTAAAGGTGCAATAGGTGATTGTCTTCAGAAACATTTTTTGTTATGCTGGTTGAAAGTCTCTTCACATCCCTATAGCAATCATTAAGTTACACTCGGTCCGAGCGTTTTAATTGGCTTTCCTACCTGCCTGTCAAATATGTATTAGCATACCTCTGCGCACCCGGTTCGTGCAGACAGGTTACGTCATCAGCTCGTTCACGCATGCTGGGCAGACAGAGCGAGAATGGCAGACAAACATCAACAACCCGATCTTCCTTCCTGGTATTGTAGTACTTTTAAAGTTTTCTCACCGGTGAATGACACATGATGTAACCCAGCGGTTCCCAATTCCAGTCCTTGCGATTCAGATAACCAGCTCGTTAGAAGTGAGCTGAAGCGTGCATGAACTAGGGATGGGCGATACCACTTATTTTGTTTTCGATACGATACCGATATTTTTCAAGGCAGTATCGTCAATATCGATACCGATTCAATACTTCTGAACTAAACTTTTAAATTATGAAATGTATTAAATTACTAAGAGCGCTCTCTGTGATTGATTGGTTCTGTCTTGCAACATTTGCATGTGTTCAGATGAGCAGGAAAATAGTTATATCCTACACAATTACTCGCTAACAAAGGTTATTCGTCCAATTCAATGCATATTGTGGGCATTATTATTTTTTTGTTAAATAAACAAAATCACTGGTAAATAAAACACACCCTTAGTATCGATATTTTTTGTTTGAGTATCGATACTGTCGATACTCGCGTCAGTATCGATATATCGATATTTCAGATCGATACCCCCATCCCTACCATGAACTGTGTACTGATCGACAGGATCCCTACACAGTGTTCACTGCTCCCTACTCCCGCGAGGACTGGAATTGGGAACCGCTGATGTAGCCTATTGTAATGTTGTCTCTGGTATTCTGGTCTGTGAGT